CCTCTTCGTGGCTTCCAGATACGACAGATGGCTTTGATGACACGCCAGATGGCTTCGTCGCATAGAACAGCTGAAGATGGATCTCCTGGCTGACTTGGAACACGGGCTCCGTCGGATCCCTTGCCGTACGCATGAAGGGATGGTGACGAGAGGCATCGCGCGAATAAGGCTGGTGCAGTCTTCGGGGATGCTTGTTACCCTTGTGCACGTGCACAGGGTAACATGTTGTCAATGCACTGCTCCATTCGTTAGCAGCTTTGTATCTAGAAGACTGAGGCACACTGGCTGTTCTTTGCAGGCTTGGATTCGATTTGAAGCACAACAACTCCGAACTGAACTAAGATTTGCGGGAATCGCCGTGGAAGATGTTCAGGTTCTCTCTGCATCCTAAGCTCTTCGGCTGCTGCTCATTTCTCCAAAAGTCAGTCAGTGTTCATCCGATTGTTTGGAAGTCCAGAAATCGTGGCTCCTGCCGCATTGCCGTATGCCAGTGCAACTCATGAGTAGCCAGCACTGTCAGCGTCCGATTGTGCAGTTTGCCTCAAGTCTGGCAAGTTTGTCGTGTTGAAGGACTAGGTTCACCCCTATGGTTGCTTGTATTTGCTTCAATTGCTTCTGCAAAACCATTTCTGGCAAGTGGATCAAGACATGGAGTGGATCAGCCCCACCCTGATTTCTTGCTCGTGGATGCTGCAGTGACCGAAGCCTCGACATCATGGCGAACTTGCGGCAAGCAGCCAGTTGATACACCAGTCAACCTGCAAGCTCGCAAGGTTTGCCTCAAATTCAGCACCCGCCAAACCCAGCGATGACCAATCTAGTACAGAGCAGTGTTGACATATAGAAAGTTGGTTGAAACCTGGAAAAGTGATGATAGGCGCCCCTCGAAAGCAATTCGGATACCAATGCAGTTTTGGGCATGTTTAGCTTTGGTGAAGTGTGGCTGGGGGCCCAAACAAGCAACAGGACCCTGTGAAAAGCGATGAGCTTGCCGGTTCATGTCCTCTTCATTTCCCAGTGCTTTAGCCAAATGCAAAAAGACATGCAAGCTTAGGAAGAGGCGGCCCTTCAGTCACTCAAGCCGTAACAGGTTTTTCAACTCTCGTGAAACGCACCGACCAAGTCTCGCAAACCTAAACTTCGCTAGAAACTGTGTCAGATGTGATGAAAAGTAATCCAACAGGGAGAGAGGGTTGGAGAACAGACTCTGTGGAGTTCATGACCGACATAGGCATGGCGGAGCCATGGACGTTAGCACGTCCTTCCATGTCATTGAGTTGGGTTGAAGTGTCAAGGCAACAGTTTTGTAGAAAGATTGGAGGTCTGCTATCTGGGATCTCTGTCAGACTGACAGTCAAGCGACTATCACTGATGTCTGGTGCAGTATGGTGAACGATGAGTCATTTGTTTGAGGAGTGGCTTATGCCGCCAGCTGCATCAGCGCCTGCCTCCGTCAAAGGGTTTTCTAGCACTTCATACTTCGGGGCATCCATCGCTCTCAAAGTCTTAAAGCGAGATGTTTACCACCCAGTTTCTTCAACCGGTGTATTCAGAGCTGCGGATTGTTCGATTTTTGCATTTTGCATGGATTGAGAATGCGGCGTCAGATTGCACACTCATATGAGACTGGGTTTTGTATGTTGCCCATTCGCCTGAATGTGCCTCTGGGATTTTTGGATTGTTCCCGCAATGAAGAACGTGTATTCCATCACTGTTGTGAGCGTTGAAGCATAAGGTCAGGCTTTTTGCATTTTCTCAAGTCCATTGCAGAGGGCAAAATCAGACGCAAGACTTCCCCAGTCCCATACAATGCAGACAGGGTTCCAATCTTGTGCCACTCTCGAATGTTTTGATCACTAGCCAGGACATCCCTGGTTTTGATCCTGAGATGTGCTTTGTTTCAAGGTGGTCTGCAAGCACTGGTAGGACTTGGTTGATCTTGGTCACTTTGATGTTCTTCAGTGTCGCGAAAGTCGCCAAACGGAGGCGCAACGGTGTCACTGATTGTGGCTCAACTGCTACAGAGAGGGCTTCCTCCCGGCTCAATTGGTGCAGTTTTGGGGCACAAAAAGTCCATTCAGTAGTTCTTGGACAGGTGGTCATGGGGTCCAAGCCTGGAAATTGAGAGATTGTCTGGCAGACTTGACAGTCGAGAAGACAGGTCCTTTGTTACATCTCCACAGTCCATCCTGTGTGCCCCAATGCTTGAGGCCACGCCCCTTGCATTCGTCGAAGCATGCTTCCACTTCCACAAAAGCCTCCCTGATGCAGATGGAACTCGTGCACTCTTCGTTGTCAGCGGATGCCAGCGGATGCCAGGGTGGGGTGTGGTCAAAAGCCTCAACTCGCCGGCGTCAGAGCACCTGTTGTCCCTCGAAATCTGCCCATCGAGGCTGTGTGAAGAAGTCCGTTGTGACAAGGGCGAGCACCAGGATTTGTTCAGACGCTTCTTTGCTCGAGGCCTGACCGGCCTGACGGGCCTGACAGGCCTGGTCTGAGGCGAAGCTGCGCGGCATTGGGAAACTGCTTCGGTCTGAGTCCACTGATCTCGCGAGAAACTGCTCGTCCTGCTCGTCCGGTGAGTTTCAGATACCTGGTAGGGCAGAGGAAGAAAATCAGATCCTGCTTGGGCTATTCCTGGCCCAAAGCTTGATGCAGGAACAGGCAGGGCTTAGTTGATCTCATCAATTCTGATGTTTATAGTTTAACTTCTTGAACAAGAGCAGACATAAACGAGACCAGGAGTTAAACATGCAGACAGATGTGGCCCAGTGGCCGAAGTGGTGGATGAACCTGGGTTCCAGGCCTTTGCAGTTGCGTTTAGGCAGGAAGACCGTGCAAGTGAAGTGATTTCTCCCAAAGATGCCCAAAGATTTCTCCCAAGTCCAAGTACTCCCCTAGCTATCACCAGGTCAATGCTGCGAGAGCCAACTCTTGGGCGCCTCACATGGTGCATATGGAAGCCGTTGGTCATAGCTATCCCACCCCTGATGTCCACCCATTTGGCCGGAAAGCTACAGCAGGCCGCACCTGATGTCGGCCGGTTCGACCGCCGAGGCAGGCGGACCTGCGACGAGAGTGGGCTTCCAGGGACCCAGGACACCTAGCCTGCCAACTGTGATGCCCAGGCTTTCCAGACTTGCTGCTTGCTTCGCACCCACTGGAAGGGCAGACTTGAAGACAGGAGGAAGAGTTAGTTTGAAGAAGGCCAACGTGATTCCTTTACCAGCAAAGTGGATTTTGTCAAGTTGCAAAAGCAAATGTGCAAGCGAAAGCTTTGGAAGACTATGATTTCGATTGATGTGTTGGAGGAACAGGCGCTTTTGCAGCTGCTCATCGGAAAGCCTGTCCTGCAGTGGCTATTCATGATGTCAGCACATTCATGGGCAGAAGTCGGTTTGCTGGGTGTCAAGAGTATTTGGAGCCGCACGTTGCATTGCTCAGGAACATAACAAGGCCACTGTTGCTAGAGCCCAAGACACGGCCATCAAGGATTTGGATTTTTGTTAACAGAAATGAAAAATCTAGTTTGGCTAGCTTGGCTGTCATGGCAAGTCCGTTAATGATTAGAGTGTGTGATTTGCAAGGACTTGTGCCTGCAGGGTTTGATGTTGAGTTGGCGCAGGGATACGTATGCACTTGGGACATTAATTTGGAGACAATGTCGATGAAGTCCGTATCACGTGATGGGGGTCTCAGCGTATTGCCAATTCTTTTGCGATATCTCACTTGCTGCACCATTGCGACTTCATTTGAGAAATCGCTTGCGAGGGTCGCAAAGAAGGTTCCAGGTGTCATTGTGAGGGTGTAACCTCCACTTGCTCAAAGCATTTCTGAAGCCGCAACCGCAGAAAAATCACTCTAGCGAGGTGTTGGAGGATCAAGCCATGTTGGAGGTAGTCAGGGAAAGCCTGTCATTCAGGGACTTTTCATGATATCACATTTGCGGGCAGAATCGGTATATTGAATGACAAATCTTTATTTTGCGGAGCTGGGCATTGCCGTCACCACTGAGGACCATGGCAATCAATCACTAGCTACCAAGTATGTAGCGTCCAAGACATGGTTATCACAGCTTTGGATCTCCAATCAATCCACAAAAATGAATGCTTCAAAGGCTTGACTAGCTTAAGTGTGGTGGCAAGTCAGTTCATGATGGGAGTTTGTGATCCACAAGGACTTGTTCTTGCAGGAGTGGATGCAGAGTTCTCCACCAGTGTGGTACTTCCTCACCACCCAGCCTTGCCAAACCAATCGGTTGCGTTTTGATCCTGCGTGAAAGACCTTTTGTCAATTTCCGTTTGTGTTAAAGAAGCGAACCGGTAGCAGGCCTTTCTCATGGCCTTCAAATTTAGTTTGGTCTCAATGGTCTCAAAGAACTGCAGCAACTATCCTTGACTCCGAGATCAAGGCAGAAAGAATGTGCTTACTGTGCTGTAGATGACAGACCACCGTCAAAAACTTAACCTAGCTGTGGATTGCGGACTCATCGAGTTTAGAGCACAGTTTGTGCAAGTTTGGGCACGTGGAAAGAATGTGACAGATCTGCAAAAGGAGCGTCGTTCGGCCGGCAAAGTCTAGGGCAAACCTTGGTTTTCAAGATTCAAAACACCATTGGCCTCAAGTACTACCCAGGAGTTCAAAGAGGCAAGCGTGCAAGCTGCTCCTGTATGAACAGTTTCTGCTCAGGAATGAGACTGGAAATGGATCAGGGTGAAAGGTGTGATGGCACTTTGCTCAACTGCTTAGTGTGCGAACAGGACTGGGCGTTCAAGATTAGCTAGCACAAAGCATACCTTGGTCATCAGACAGGAAGGTACTCTTGAGACTTTAGTCCAAGTTTGTCCAAGGCTGAAGAGCCGCTGCCAAGATTGGACTCAAGCTTTTCACATGGCCTGACACAGCATGAGTACATATAAGACCCGGACTTGCTAGCTCTTAAGGTCTTTAGAGCCCAGTGACAGCCCACTGTGCTGCTTCTGGCCGGCAAAGTTTGCACCACCTGGCGAGTAAGGAACTTGTTCGCAGTTAATTGCGTGTTTTTTCGCTTAGAGTCTTAGAGGTGTTTCCAGTTGCATCACCCTGCTGATATGGTCTGTAAGATTGACAGAGCCTCCAGTCCAGGTAGGCCCACCAACTAATGCGTTGTTCATAACGCAGTCCAGACCACCTGCGGCCACAGTTGTTGTGGACCTTCCCAGTTCAAGCCATGAAGCAGATGAAGAAATATTATGTGCCAAGGACTTGCATGGCGCCTCATACATGATAATAGAGTCACTTTCTGCATGCTGGGCGCTGCTAGAGTGTATGCCAACAATTGGAATGCTTTCCAACTGATCCAAGTCAATCAAGTGAGTCTGCTGGGTGACCGCTGACCGCAGCTTAAGATGGAGAGCTTTGCCGAGGCTGCAAGGCTGCTGACCGGAAGGAAATTGGTTTGATTTCGAAGACCTCCGCAGCTGGAACAAACTTGTTATCTTTGGTCCCCAGTGTTTGGTTTAACCTGACACTGCAAGATTTGGCTCTTGTAGCAAGTAGACCTGCCCGCAAATTGCAGCCAAAACCAACATTTCATGCTCCGAGAGCATTCTCCAGCCGTTTCCTTGCCGTGGCTCCGTTGTTGGTTCGTTCGGTGATGGGTTGGAGTTGTCTACTTCCGGCCCGCAGAACAGCTCTATGATGAGCCAAAATCATGGCAAGAAGGCAAGAAGGCTCCTGGTGACCGCCATTTCTTCATGTCCCACATCCATGGATTTCGGACCAAGTCTTCACAAGATTCAGGTTTCCCGCAACTGCCACACAGGTTGGCTTCACTTGGAAGATTTGGCCTTAATCTCTTGACCCTCACTAACTGCTTTGTCTCCAATGCTCAGGAACTTGGAGGGAGCCATTCGTGTGAGTCCCCGAGCATCAGTGCCTCACACCCTTGAGCAAGAGAAGGGCCCAAAAATTGGGTGGCGTTTCCTTGAGATATTGAGCTAGCTAGAGCGACTAGGTTTTCTAGCTTCCTGTTCGGGTCAACTGACTCTTGATTCGATTCATAGCTTTGCGGGCCGTAAAGAGGGCAGATCGATAATGCTTCCCCATAGGCAAGTTGGATTCTTGTGGCCAAAGATTGCTATTTTCTTCGTTCAAGAGATTTTTGAGGAGGAAATGTTAAGCTTTCGTTTCAGTCCGCGTCGCCTGTGGGTGTTCAGGGGCTTGTGCTCACAAGAAAGGGAGCAGCAAAGGTGAAGGTAGCGACCAGCAAATCAGTCCATTAAACATACTCCAGTGACAAGAAGGATGAAGCCAAGATGAAGCTAGGTGAACCTGAGGGTGAATGCCAGACCTTCATCCGCCAATAGTTCAGCCCATCTCTCCAGCTTCGCAGCTGTTGACCACAAGTGTTGCTTCAGGATTGTATCGCAGTCCTCCATCAAGGGTCGTATCTATGACAAAGACTACGAGTGGGGTACTACTTCTTCCTGAGGAGGATTAAGCTGCTGTGGAAGGACGTTGAGTCTCAGGAAGTTCTGTCAACTCCGTCCAGCAGAGGAATAGCCACAGTGCCTTGCTAAAGTGAGGAGCACACAAGCTAGGTCTCGACATGTTGTGTTTCGAAAGATACTTGTACAGGCTGCTAGAAGCTTGAAAGCACCTCTTCCAGCTGTCAAGGTCAGTTTTGTAAGATCTACCGCCTGCAGCAGATTGGTCCAATGTTCTGTTGTGTGTCAGGTTTACAGTGAGATTCACCGTTTGAACTGTCAGGGCACTCCTTTGCTGAGTTACCTTTTTGCTCCTGAAGCTCTTGGGGCTTCGCCACAGGAAATGCTTCCTCGGGTATTTGCAAATTTGGGTGTGTTGTCATACAGGTCTTTCTGTGTTGGAGTGACAGGAAGAGTCAACAAGTGACAGGGGTCCCTTCCCTTGTCGTCCCAGCTCCAAGGTCGCCATAAGTTTTACGGTGCCAGCTTTGCACAGCTCTGAGAGTCCTAGAGTCCCGGAGCTTCAGACTCCTTCCATGTGAGATCTCTAAGTTGATGAGGCCTCCGAGGCCCAGGCGGCCCAAGCTTCGACTTTCAAAGCCCAAGATTTGTAGGAGAATCCAGGTGACAAGCAGAGACCAGCACCATCGATTGTCGAGTCCATTCAACTGCGTGGTACATCTCTCAGCTGGACATGCATAGCCCCGATCCATCGGATGAAACCAACTATGAAGCCAAGCTTCTTTCTGTTTGATGGTGAGGAACGGCCAGAGAAAGGGCTGAGGTTCTCTAGCTTTGGAATTGCCCATTTCTGTTGTGTCAGTTCTTAAAGATGCTTTTGACTCTTATTTCATTTGAACAGCATTCCATCGCGATGCCAGCCCGGAAAGCTGAGCTACGAGTCCGCCGGGGGGGAGTTTTTGGCTCTTGCGCTGCCAGTGCCTTCTTCTTTGCCCGACGGGTGGAGAGAGAAGCCCTTCTCACATCGTAGTGAGGCAAAGCCGCCGCTAAAAGATCAATGTCTCATCACATGAGCTTATGACCTTCAGTGGAGTAACTGGCGCTTTTGTGCGAAGATCCTGAAGGTGCCAAAGCTGGCGGGGTGCCAGCTTGGCTTCCTGATTGTTTGCTCTGCCAGGCGCAGATCCAGTTAAATACAGGCGCTGAAATCCTTGAGCCCAATGAGCCCAAGGCTGCCCTCTGCGACTTGGCATTGGCTTGTAATGATTTGACCGCAAAAAAGAAGTCCTTTGGAAGCACATTTGGCCAAGAAATTAAGATCTTGTACTTCCGACCAGCACTTTCATATCAAGATGCTCGACACAAAGCTGTAGCGCTTCGGAAGTGTTGCAGAGCGTATCAAGCATTCAATCTGCGGTTGACAATGGCACTGCTTTGCAGCGTTCAGTGTTTGGGTGGTAACCTACATGCCCAAAAATTGATACTGCACCTCAAGAATAAGAAGCAAAGGCGGTTTGGAGGGAGTATTTGTGGACTCAAGAGGCACGTGGCAATGGCAACCAGAATCAGGAAGGCTCACGGACGTGTGCCAGCTTGTAGGTGAACATATAGATTGGATATGATTGGATGCCAAGAGGGCACGAGGGCACAAGCAAGGCCCAGGCAAAAAAGTATAGCAAAGCTGCTGCCCAGCAATTCCTGAAGTTGCTGTGACAAGTTTTCCTGCTTCCTGACGCGTCGAAGCTGTGCTGCATCAACGTTCAACTGTTTGGATCGGCTTGATTTTGCTCTGAAGCGGCGTCTGCGGGATGCCCAACATGCTCCGATCACAAGGGTTGCCTGCACTTGTCACAAGCGCTGCCTACAGATTTTGTGCGCACCAAGTGCCTTTCTCCCATGAGCTGAAGAAGCGAGCTGCAAATGTAGTTTTCCAAGACTCTCAGTTTTCTGATGTGTCCCTTCTTCACTAACATGTTCAGCAGGTATCTTTGAGTCTGCCCAGCCGCAGACTTGTCGCCAAGTGCATTCTTGCCCCTCGGCCAAGCGACTCGTGTGGCCATTGAAGATTCAGACTTGCTCTCGCTTCTTGATGCAAAGGTACTTGCAGCAGATGACATTGTTCTTTTCACGATCGATTGTGCTATCTTTGTCCGTGAATGTCACCTCCAACTACTAAAGTAGAGTTGTCAAGATCTTGCACAAAAGACAATGCAAGACAAACCACATCCAGTCCACGTATTATGCTATTCCACCTATTTTGTGGCTGTTGCAGCTGCTCCGTTGCCGCGTGACCCTTGACACTCTTTGTGATTCAGCGGCATTGTCCTCAATTTGTCCATCAAGGAACACTTCAGCTGCGCAAGCTTCGCTCTGTGCGTGCATTGACGCATCCAAGGGGTCCTATTTTTCTGTCACAATCAGGAGTTAAACGTTGACTGCAGGCCTGTTGGATGAAATGCAAGTTTCTGCCATCATGTCAATGGTTCTCCATGTAGCACGACCGGTGGATGAAGCCTCAAAACATCAGATCTGCCAATCCCCTGGTCGCTGTGCATCAGAAAGCTATCAGCGAGTCGCCGGCAGAGTCTTGGTAGCAAGCAGACAAACCCAGCTAGGGAATGCAAGTAGAGAGCCGGAATGTTTTGCAGGCTTCTCTCTCAAGGGTTTTGCACGGGTTGCTTTTGAATTTGCATGAAGACAGTTCGCACACTATTTCTATTCTCATGCAAAGACAAGGATGCAAGGCTCCCCAGAAACATTGAAGTCCATCGAGAAGACTTCTTCTTATTATCTCGGATGAGGTCTCTTCAACTTCTGGGCAATTCCAGAGGACGATGTGAGAAGCACACCTTCCAACAACCAGTCACCCATATTAGGATGGTTAGTTTAGGTGTTCTGGCGCTTTTGGTGCCACAAAACTCCTGAGTGTTGGGGAGATTGCTCTACCCTACCTCCTCTCCTCACGTCTTTGACCGGCCTTGAGGATTGGCGTGGAGATCGGTTTACAGCGGGAAGAGATGCCGGCTGAAGGGGCAGCTTCCGCGGAGGACGGTGGGATCGGTGAAAGCGGAAGCTGGAGGAAAGTCTACTTTTTGTTTTGTGTTGTTTTGTGATGTGCATCTTCCTTCTTTTTTTGAGCCAGCGTATAGTTTTTTTTTTTTTTTAGTACTTTTTGAAGAAAGATGCGTGGAGATGTGAGGTATTGTTCACTTGTGTGACTTTGTAACATATGTTGCTCACCCTCTCTGACAAGCTCCAGGTTGATCTGAGAGATGAGCTCATCGGCACTAGGGTATGCACATCTCCCAACGGAGCATCACAGTACTTGCTCGCAAACGGCTCGAATCAAAAACAAATTGTGTGAGACAGAAGCCCAAAGTTGTTGCATAGCAGTTCTTTCTTTGATTCTTTTGCTTTGAAGCTGCCAGCCACGATTACTAGGTCTTTGTTGTCCATTTTTGTGTTTCCATCATTGGTCATCCACTGCTTGCAACAGCAGGACCAGCGGCAGGTGGCAAGGCCGGCTGAGCATCTCTGGAAAGAACCAGCTGTTCTAAAATAAGGGAACCTCGGACTGCATTGATCATTGAGTGGCCCAACATGGTCAACTAACTTTTCTAGGCTTTGTGTCATTTTGACTATTATTGTTTGGTCTAATTTCAATCGGGCAACAATCGGGACAATCTCTAAGTAAAGCAAACACTTAAAGTCTTTTCAACTAAAACTGTTCTTCAAAGTGGCTAGTGTGTATAACCAGCCAGGCCAGCTCGGCCGTGTACGAGTTCGGGAAGCAATTGCAAGTCACTAGTGACTTATTTTCTCACCAGTGTTTTTCTCTTCAGGCCAAGGTGGCCCAATCTCAGATGGGGGAAACAAATGCCTAATGACCTCTTTGCAGCCTCATGACGTCGGCGGTTCAATGGTTTCGGAGATTCGAGGAAGGTCCACCACCCGCATGTCGGATGTCGGTTCGTACCACCGCCCCGCACGTCCCGAAGCAAGGACCGATGGTCCAAGGGGGAGCTGATGCAACGACTGCCACGAGGATCTTTTTGAGCGTGGGCCACGGAGTGGTGAAGCATCCAACTGAGCAAAGACCTGAACGAGTTACGTCACGTCGCTTACGTGGTACGATGTACCTCGTGCGGTACGTGTGTGGGTCTGTGGGTCTGCCTTCTTTGATTGCATAGATGACCAAGCACTTCTGGGTTTCCTGGCATGCATTGAGAGATGTGCAATCCACAGCAACCTTTAGTCTAAATCTAGCAAGACAGGGTTAGTCCGACTAAAATGCTTTGGCTTCAGCAAGAAAAGTCTTAAAGGAACTTGCTTTTTTAATCCGCGGGCCAAGATTGTATTTTGAACTTTTCTATTTTGCAATAGCCAAACCTTCATTTGTCTGGGACCCTTTCTTTTTCCTCCCTCGCTTTTTCTAAGCACCTGAATTGAGTCATGTGGCATGTAAGGTGGCAGTCATCCGACTTGAGTTGCAGAGAATACCACTACGAAGCGCATTAGCTCCAGCCGGATGGAAGTGTGACCTTGGCGACTGCTGTGGAAGAACAACCAGAGCACCATGCTGCTCCTCTGGCTGTGGATGTTGCGTGCTGCGCTTAGCATCTTCACTCACGTCCTTTTTTGTGAGGTCGGGTTCTTTCATTCCAAAGGCTGCACGGTCTCACCAAGTCGCAGCCTGCGAGCTGCATGCTTAATCTCCAAATGGTCCACAATCTGGGAAGCAGAAACAGATGGCTCATTGGTGCAGGCAGAGGACCTTCTGACGGAACAAACACGTCCAAATCCTTGGTCAACGTGCAGAGCAGATGAAGTCCTGCCTTGAATTCTATCCGGCCAATGACGTCCCGTCCATCAGCTTGACATTCCCTTGAAACGAATTCTTTTCGCAATAGGCAAAAGAGGATCGAAAGCTTCTGGTAGAGTCTCAGTGCGAAAACTGCCCTGAAGAGGATGCAGTAGCTGCGATATAGTGCCTGATGATGCCAGCGACACACAGCTCCTGACTGACCAGTATTCATCACGTAGGGTGTTGACACACCAGACTTTTAAGGAAGCAACCTGCTACATCAGAGCCGCGTCAAGATGCTTTTTGATCCGGTTGTCCTCTTTTCGATCTCACCAGAGGATGTGCCGGTGTGTGAACCAGGGGACATTTGCCATTTCCGGTGTCAAGTCTTGACAGTTTGTCCATCTCGCATGCAAAGCTTGTCATTTGTGGATATGCCTTGACAAGCCGGAGTCAGATGTAGTCGTGGTAGTGCAGGCCTCTACATACTCGATGGGACCGATGAGACCTTTGGACAATTGGGCACTTCACCATGCTTAGGATCGGGATCGTCCTCATGTCCTGAATTCAGGATGCTCCTCACCATCCCATAGTCCTTCGAGGCCTGTCATCGTTGGGTCCTTCTTTCATCGCATAGTCCTTCGAGCTCACCCAGCACTCACCCAGTGGCTCTGCACCCAGTGGCTCCAAGCCTGCAAGCCGCCGCCGCACGGCCTCCGCATTCGTGCTGCAAGCCGCAGAGCGCGGTGCTTTCACCGCGGCGCTTGGGCCGGGCGTGGAGGTGTCCCACTGGGTGGGGCCTTAGGAAACGCCCGTTCTGAAGTGCGAGAAGAGCACCGTGCCTCTGTGCTGACAAACCATGACACACCCTGACATGGCCAGCTCGAGCTTGGAACGGTTACCATACTGAAATGGTTTTTGTCCCTTTTCTTTTGCCAAGCGGCTATTCATGGCTTTTCCAACGATACTCAAGCAGCATTCGCCCCAAACGATACTCAAGCTTCGGCTCCACAAGCACGATACTCAGCTTTGGTCAATTTAAAGACCAATCAAATGCCTTCTCTTCAGTAAGTGGCAAATGGCATTGCATGCCAGCCAGCTTGGAGCCAGTGATTCGAATCAGATTCCAACTGAATTTCAACTCAGAGAAGAGAAGATTCCTCGTGCAAAGAGAAGCCAAACTTTCAAAGACAGTACTTCCTACATCATCGCATTCCACCTTGACCTGGACATTACTTTCCAGCTCCACCTCGGCGTGCCGCACACATTGCCGCTGGATTAAGGCTTGGCATATTGCCAGTTGCCAGTTGAACGTGCGCTTTTTTCACGGTCCCGGCCGTGTTCCGACTCTTCGGAAAAAGGTGTGCGATAGGCTCAAATCCTTTGCTTTTGGTTGTACCCTCAGGATTTTAGTTTCAGACAGTATTTCTTCAAAGTGGACTCACTACCTAGTGCTTGCCTGGGTTCAAGTCCTCAATGTTTGTTTGGGTCTAGTCTAGTCTGAAGGTAGGAGTTTCTTTGCACGAAGCGCACAGCACTCCTCCGGGGTAACTTGCTTTCTCTAAGATTGGGGCTCTGACCTCGACTCCCGTTTGGGCCTAAAGCGCTGGCGATTGTTTCTCTAAGATTGGGGCTCTGACCTCGACTCCCGTTTGGGCCTAAAGTGCTGGCGTTTGTTTTTTGCGGACTTGGGCCGTGGCCGTCCCGCGAAGTGGCCCTGCCGTCTCGAAACTGCTGTGCCGGCTGTGGCAGCTACTTGCTGATTGTTGCTGGTCACTGCCATCTTGGTCAGTCTCCCATGGGGGAATCGCTTATTCAGGGGGGGCGGTCCACATGGCTGCACGCCCCGAAAGTGGCCCGTCTATCCGCTGCTGCCTAGATTGATTGCACGTGAAGAAGCCTTTTTCAAGGCTCAACGAGAGTCTCTTGAACCTGGACCCCAAGGCCGCGTGCCTGCCTGGCCCCCGGGCCCCTCGGCAGCCCGTCCGGGGCGCCGATGACACCGAAGGAAGCAGCAAGCCGACGCGAACGACCACCGGATCCAAGAGCGACAATTCAAAGACAAGGATCACCGCGAGAACAAGGAACATAGAAACGATCATCGCAACATCCACTGAAGATGAAAAGGAGAAACAGGCGGAGAAGATTCTTTTCACGAAAGCTAGCATCAGCTAGCTGGAGTTGCTCTTGCTTTAGCAAGTCAAGGGCTCGCAGCCTCGAGAATCATGAATCACGTGAAAACTTCACGTGTAGGGGGCCCCCCCCCCCCCCCGCGGGTTCAACTCCCCCCTGGGACGCTTCCGGTACGTGCTATAGTGCTATGTTTAGGTGGCAGGTGAAGTAGGCCACTGTTTGAGTTTGGAAGGGGGGGCATGAAACATGAAATTTACGCGAGGGTTCAAGGCTTCAATGATGAGCATCACGGGAAGTCAGAAACCAGGCGTATCAGATACACGTGCCTTTAAGCTTCCTTCGGCATCTCAGTGCATATGGCTGACACTTCACTCGACAAAGATGCTCAAACAAACATACATAAACCAGGTGTATCTGATACGCCTGGTTTGTGACTTCCCGTGATGCTCATGATGCTGCGTTGCTTTTCTTCAGTCCCTCATTACATATACATGACGATGCAACAGCAGATTCAACAAGCTCACATGTTCATGACATCGACATCGATAGAAGAAACCAAACAAATCATGCAAGCAGCTTTGTTTTGCCTCTGGGACACCTCTTGGGCACCTCTTATGGCATCCACACTGGTTCAACTCCTCCGTGGAGGTTTTGGGATACGGTGCAACAGATTCAACAAGCTCACAGGTTCGTGAACACATCGGATGCATCGAACAGTGTGGCAAAGTCCAGCCACGCTTCCTTAATTATCGGGGACTTCAATTCTAAGGTTGGCTGTGTCATTGCTGTTTGTGTGTCTTACATGTTCA